GTCTGATCTCTTGACTGCTGCTTCCGCGAGTGTTGATAGCTAATCCAAGAAGAATGAAGTCCTTGACAACTTCAATCTTTTCTCCATTGATAAGAATGATGTTTAGTGGTCCAGTGGTGAGGATTTTTGTTTTCTTGACATTAGATGCAACCAGTGGCATAGCTTCTAGAATCACAGCAACATGCAAGCCACCACAATGCGACAAAATGACAAATGAATGGTGGATTTTTAATGATTATAATTCTGCAAACACACATATACAAATAGGCCCCTAATGGAAAAACATTAAAACTGAGAACTGTCAGAATGGGCAGATTATGATTATTTTCTCTCTTCCAAATAAAAAGTGGATTTCAAGACAACTTTTTCAAGGTTTTAAATAAAGGTATATATTGTTACAATAAAACAAGCTTACAAACAGACATCCTTAGAACATTTTTATTTAAATGTTTCTTGGGTCCCTGGAGAGAGGGGCAGTTTGAATTAAGGAGGAGAGAATTGATAAGAAAAGAAAAGGAATAAGAAACTATATAACAGGAATTTCAGGTCCTCTCCCTTTGAGCTCCCTGGTCAATGTTGCCGAAGCCTCGCGTCAGAGCGGATGTTACATGATATGAGTGGGAGAGTTGGACCACACTGACTACCCGACCTTCATTTCCTTAACATTCTCAATTGGGAGCCATTGCTGTGGCCTGTCCCGTGATGGGCCATGACTCTGACACGGTTGTCAGGGGTGTCTGTAGTGGAAGATCTGAATTTAGACCTCGGCATGAGATGAGACAACCACGTTGGCTTCTATGCGCACATATGGTTTCATCAACACATTAACCACAGGAGAAGGGGAAAAGGCTACAAGGTGTGAGATTAGTTAGTACAAGTGGAGACAAAGGAACTTTTTTTCTTCTTCTTCTTCTTCAAAGTGAAAAAAAAACACAAAAGCTCCACTATTACAAAGACTTTCCGTAGCTCCACACCCACCTCGAAAGCCCCTTGTTAACCACAGGAAACACGCTGACCATTGGAGGATAAAAGAGCGTTATGAGGAGCTGGTTCCTCACATTCTACCTGCACAGCTCAGACAACCTCAGTCATGAGGCTTCTCATCCTGGCCTGTCTCGCTATCTGCTGCCTCAGTGCCTACATTGTGGAAGGTAGGTTGAAACGTTGTTTTTATAACATAAGGAACTGGGATGGGAAGTCAGTGGGCACATGGTATGATTTTGACCCATCTTTGACTGGGATAAACTGTTTTCCCTAATACAAGCCTCAGACACCCTATGTGGAAAATGGGACTGATAATTTTGACTGTAGGAGACTTTGTAGACTCTGAAGACACATATAATTCAGAACCTTGGATCCTGAGCTTCTCAACTGGGTGACTTAGCATCCATTTATTAATCTCTCTAGGTTTAGGCTGTCTTTAATAGCCACTCTCATCTGGGATTAAAGTGGAATAAATTATGTCATCTCGTATCAGATTTCCTTATAAATATTAATTTCTTGATTGTTAAGAATGAGATAGTGGTGATAATTATTACATGGCTTTGGAGCTTTTGCCCATTTCTATTGATCTTGATAACCTTTGAGAGTTTAGTTATTTGGTAAGGATGAACTAAAGATTGTATGTTCTGAAGCAAATCAGTGCCCTCTATCTAAAACATTTAATGACCAGAAGCTCATCTCTTCATATCCATGAAACCAATACTACCTTTAAGTATCAGGGTGAGTCTATCAATACTGCCATGAATGTTGTTATTATTTATGATAAATTTCTTGAATCTGTAAGCGACTATATGATAATATTGTTGTTAAGTGCCACCAGTTACTTCCTACTCATAGCAATCAAGTATAAGGTTTCCGAGAAGCAGCTGGTGAATTTGAACCACCAACCTTGCGGTTAACAATCCAGTGTTTATCCTATACTGCCACAAAAGACTCCTTATATATGGTCTCTTACAGATTCAAGAAATGTATAAGTTTATAAACATCTTAAATCTGTAAGAGGTCATATGATAATTGTTGTTACATGCTGTGCTAACTAATACATTCATATTGTATACACGACCATATAAAATAAATCTGCAAGACATAGCTAGGTGATATTCAGACATCCTGAGCCTCACCTGGGTTTTCACATGTATTTCTTAACAGGTGGATTTTCCCTACTGGGTGGAATTTATTTCTCCTTGTGATTCTGGTAACAAGAGAGAATATTCTCTGGGACTAATTATTGCTTCAGTTAGGTGCCCTTGCAGCCTACTAATTTGTAGATTTATAATTTAGTTTAGTGTATCTTCACCTGATCATGGCTCCCCAAGGGGTCCAAGACTAGAGGGTGGCAAAATCTGGAATTCCTTGAAATTATGAGCAAAACAAAAAATATGGATGAAACGAAACAATTTAAGATGACTAAATTAGGCTGAATATTGCTTCATGGCAGTATTTAACCAAGACAGTAGCTTAGTGGGAACTCAGGCCAGGGGTGGAGGGGTGGTAGTGATGCTCTGTTAGAGGTGGGAGTGATGCTCTGTAGACACATGACTGATATCCCCAAATTCTCCACTTAAATGCCCTTCTACCAACTCCACTGGGGCTTATAGTTTTAAGCACACACACACACACACAAAAAAAAATGGGACAAGGCAAATTGCTCTGTCTCCCTTCTGGAATGTGAGTGATGGTAAAATTTTAAGCTGATAACACACATAAACATTGCTGAGAGTAAAGAAGAGATGTTTTGGTTTAGAATACAGTGGGATTCTGTGGGGCTTAGGAGTGCATGTTAGTTATTTACGAAAGAGAAATATTGTTGCTTAAGTTAGGGACTGATTTAAAAATTAAAAAATCAGTTTTCTATCTTTTGCTAGCCTGAAAGACACTTGAGAATGATGATGCTGATGAGGAGGGATGAAGGGAAGCAGTGTTAATGAACACCTTCTGTTTAATTCCATGTGTTTTAAAAAAATTGCCTTCTGATGTCAGCGACACTACCAATCAAATTTAATCTTTATCTGCTGTTACTTAAGATGCATTTTAGCTGAATATACCTCTAGGAAGCAAATATCAGTCTCTTCAACTACAGAGAAAAATCAACACCTACAAAGTTTGACAAGATTTGATCAAATGTTTAATATCATGACCTCTTGGGTTATTTTTCCCTTCTTCAATGTATGCCTCTAAGCTTAAATAATTAATTCCTTTGGGCTATTTCTATTGATAATGAATACTTTTTGATTCACTTATATAAGTCACATTTTATGATTTGAGAGGGCTAAAGCACTGGATTGCAAGGTCAGTTTGAATAGCAAGGTCGGCGGTTCAAGCTCACCAGCTGCTCTTGGAAACCCTCTACAGGGTCGCTATGGGTCAGAACTGACTCTATGGCACTTAACAACTTTCCTTTTATTCCCTTGAACTTGATCATTTTTAATTTATGGTCTCATTTTTGTTTGTTTGTTTTTCTTCACCAGGTGTGGGGAGTGAAGTTCCAGACAGGAGCATCTGTATGAGTTTACATACCCGGCCACTGCCAGTCCAGAAAATCAAGTCCTACACCATCAAGGAAGGCTCCCTGAGAGCAGTGATGTGAGTTTGTTCCACCAAAAGTTGGGCTTGGTGAAGTACAGCATATAGAAATTCTACTCTCCTCAAAAAGGCATATCAATATGAAGGAAAACCTCAATTTAACTAACATTCCCTTTAGTTTATTTTATTTACATTAATTTACATTACTCATATCTTCATACAGTGCCATGAAATAAACATCACAAAACTGTGGACACTGAATTCAGAATATTGTCCTTTTTTCAGATTTCACTTAACAGAAGATTCTAACTAGAAACCAAATAAATACAAGTGCTCATTCTCAGGACTAGGGTTGGAGAAGGCTACTCTAAGTCAATATTTGACCACATAACTACACTGGTGTTGGAAGCTTAAGGTTCTGGGAAGGTGAAGTGTCATGCTCATGAATTGCCCTATGTCAAATAAATGTGTCAAAAACTAGCCTGCATGGGACCATTCTCTTTCCAGGATCTCATTTTCAGAAGTATCAAAGCTTCTCAACCCATAAGTGTAATTGTCCTAAAAAATTAAGATAAAGAAATCACACTTACTCCAAAAAAGTCTGATGAGTTTGTTAGATTTGGAAAGGAAGGAGTTATAGAATAATTGGACTAACCCATTGCTGTTGAGTGATTTTAACTCCTGGTGATCTCATGTGTACAGAGTAGAAGTGCATTCCATAGGATTTTCAATGGATGAGTGTTTTAGAAGCTGGCCATTCTTCTGAGGTATCTATGGGTGGACTTATGCTGCTAACAGTTAGCAGCTGAGTGCTTAATCATTTGTGCAACCGAGGGAGTCCATAATTGGACTGTTCTTGCTGTGTGTCACTGAGTTGATTCTGACTCTTAGTGATCTTGTGTAGGGTTTCTAAGAGTGATTGGTGGGTTTAAACTGCTGACCTTGTGGTTAGCAGAACAGTGTTTTTCCTACAACACCACACCAATTGGGCTGGATGATCTCAAATGTCCATTTTAGTTACAAGAATTGGATGTCCAGATAAGAACAGGAATCTGTAGATTCATGTGAACATAGGAGCTGAACATTATCTGGAGATATTCCTCTTTTATGTAAAAATAGACAGCAGAAGAAAGAAATGTATTGTCTTGCTTAATTCTTGCAGGAATTTCTGCACAAGATCACTTCTTATTCTTTATCTACTCTATTCTGAACTCAACTCCTAGCCCCAGGGCTTTGAGAATATGGCTAACTCTTTCTTTTCCTCCCATTGCAGTTTCATTACAAAACGTGGCCTGAAAATCTGTGCTGATCCGGAAGCCAAGTGGGTGAAAGCCGCAGTAAAACATGTGAACAAGAAGTCCACGGTCAGAATAAACATGGCCCAGACCAAGCCTACAGAAGCTCAACTATCCACCAGCAGTGCTGTGCCCCTGACTGGGCAGTGACCTTCTGGTACCATGTCCTTTTTGCAAGTCAGCCAACTCCTTTTCCTTCACCAGCATATGGACTAATTAGATTGTATTTACTTTTTCAGAAAGTGCTGTAAGAATAAAACTTTATTTTTGTATTTTATTTTTTATGTCTTTCACAATTATTTTGATGCTTAATTAATAAATATTTATTATTCAGAACAGTCCCATAGTCCATTCATTATATATTAAGAAAAGAGTTTCTTACTATCATTTATGTTTTCTATTTTGGTCTTCACTGTACTTCCTGTGATGGTATCCGTGATGAGAAAGATTTTGGCCAGTGTTTTTCAGAGATAAAAAGTACTTCTCTCTTAAATTCCAGCTTCTATTGGTTTTCTATATATGAGTCGCAAGTAGCAACTAAGACAATGGCAGCAACACAAGATCTATTTCAGTTTCATTTGTGGGATATTAGGGAAAATATTCCAGCTGTAAATAGTTACAATAATGAGGGTCCACTACACAAAATAATGACGTCATTCGTTTGATTCTGAACATGTTCTCTTACCTCCTTGCGCTTCATTTTGATCTCTTATGAAAGGAAACAAACAAACAAACACAAATCAATAAAAGACTAAGGGCCATAGTGTCTCAGGGGTGCTACCAATCTCTATCCACCTACTGGTATTTTTTCTTTTTATGATTTTGAGTTTGGTTCCACATTATCTTATAATTTGTTCATTTGTCAAGACAGTAAAAATTAGACTTTTGGTGGAAAGATGCTGTATTCAAGTACAAATCAATGTTCTTTGAATTCTGAATAATCTTGCTGCCTTAGTCTTTGTAACTCCCACCAAATGACTTTTTCTGATAGATCTGGGTAAGACAAGGTGGGAGAAGACACTGATAGGATGACAGTATGTTAACAGAGTTCATTGTAAAAACTTGGAACTCTGGCATGGGTACAAAATGAGCCGCCAAAGAAGTAGCAGTAGAGACCTCACTGCCATCAAAGAAGAAGAGTTATGAGTGGAGTGAGCCCTTTGGACCAAGAGATGCTTGAACATTGACCTTCCTTGACTCAGGGACACTGGAGGAGTGGCAGAGGAGCAGTAGGTTAACTGATCAGTATAAGAGTCAGATCACCAGACAAAGCAATGGGCTTTCCAGCCCACAGAGCAAATAAAGCTGAGTGAGTTTGGGTGGGAGGCTTGCTTGCAGAGTGGGGTGCTTCCAGGTGTTTAATTTTGGGAGGGGGACTAAGTTTACTGGCTCATGGAGCTACAGCCAAGTGTCTTCATGTTGAGGCTTATGGTACAGTGCTACATCCTGTGAATATTTGCCAATATCCCTAAAACAGCTTTGTAACATTGCTTGAGCAAGGCAAAGGCCAGGAAAAGGCCCCTCGAGCCAGTAAACAAAACTTAGGAAGAAGAGATCTCAGATGATTATTATTAGTGATTAGGGTCCCCTCCTTTGTGCTCCTATGGCAGTTTGCATTACACTTAGCTTAAAACTTATTAGTTTATGTTTGAATTCCTATATATCTGTATGTTCCCTGCATTAGACTGGAAGAAGCTTGTATATATTTTTCACGACACATCCCCAGTACTCAGGATGGAACAGTATGTGGTCAATTAGTATTTGTTGAATTATGAGGAAGAAGAGCAATCTATTATATTATTTCCTTTTACTTTAAAAGTGATTTCTAAAGTGATATTATTACAACACAAACACATTATTAAAAATGGATTCGGAGGAACAAACAAGATGGCGGATCGGGTGGACGTACAGCATACAGCTCCGCCAACAACAACACAGAATACCCGACCAAGCAGGTTCAGGGGATGGTCCCAGAACTCTGAACCACATATAAAGGAATACTTACAAGGTTGGAAGGCTCACAGCTGGGTGAATTTGTGGCAGAAGAAAGAAATCCATTGCTTTCTAGTCCGGGACGCTCGGCTGCTCCAGAAGCCACCATCTTGGGTGAGACCGCGTGGGGAAAGGATTGGAGCTGCCAGAGACGCCTGGCAGAACCGCTGAGATAAAGGTGTGGACA